GGAAGTGAGCAACAGTGGGAGATAGACAGTGAGAGATAGAGAGAGTGGAAGTGAGCAACAGTGGGAGATAGACAGTGAGAGATAGAGAGAGTGGAAGTGAGCAACAGTGGGAGATAGACAGTGAGAGATAGAGAGAGTGGCAGAGAGATAGACAGTGAGAGATAGAGCGAGTGGAAGTGAGCAACAGTGGGAGATAGACAGTGAGAGATAGAGAGAGTGACTGAGAGATAGTGTGTGAGAGATAGAGAGAATGGAAGTGAGCAACAGTGGGAGATAGACAGTGAGAGTTAGCGAGAGAGAGAGAGAGAGAGAGAGTGACTGATAGATAGTGTGTGAGAGATAGAGAGAGTGGAAGTGAGCGACAGTGGGAGATAGACAGTGAGAGTTAGCGAGAGAGAGAGAGTGACTGAGAGATAGTGTGTGAGAGATAGAGAGAGTGGAAGTGAGCAACAGTGGGAGATAGACAGTGAGAGTTAGCGAGAGAGAGAGTGACTGAGAGATAGTGTGTGAGAGATATAGAGAGTGGAAGTGAGCAACAGTGGGAGATAGAGAGAGTGGAAGTGAGCAACAGTGGGAGATAGAGAGAATGGAAGTGAGCAACAGTGGGAGATAGACAGTGAGAGTTAGCGAGAGAGAGTGGCAGAGAGATAGACAGTGAGAGATAGAGCGAGTGGAAGTGAGCAACAGTGGGAGATAGACAGTGAGAGATGGAGAGAGTGGAAGTGAGCAACAGTGGGAGATAGACAGTGAGAGATAGAGAGAGTGACTGAGAGATAGTGTGTGAGAGATAGAGAGAGTGGAAGTGAGCAACAGTGGGAGATAGACAGTGAGAGTTAGCGAGAGAGAGAGTGACTGAGAGATAGTGTGTGAGAGATAGAGAGAGTGGAAGTGAGCAACAGTGGGAGATAGACAGTGAGAGTTAGCGAAAGAGAGTGACTGAGAGATAGTGTGTGAGAGATAGAGAGAGTGGAAGTGAGCAACAGTGGGAGATAGACAGTGAGAGTTAGCGAGAGAGAGAGAGTGACTGAGAGATAGTGTGTGAGAGATAGAGAGAGTGGAAGTGAGCAACAGTGGGAGATAGAGAGAGTGGAAGTGAGCAACAGTGGGAGATAGAGAGAGTGGAAGTGAGCAACAGTGGGAGATAGACAGTGAGAGTTAGCGAGAGAGAGAGTGACTGAGAGATAGTGTGAGAAGAGAGATAGGGAGAGGGAAGTGAGCAACAGTGGGAGATAGAGAGAGTGGAAGTGAGCAACAGTGGGAGATAGAGAGAGTGGAAGTGAGCAACAGTGGGAGATAGACAGTGAGAGTTAGCGAGAGAGAGAGAGTGACTGAGAGATAGTGTGTGAGAGATATAGAGAGTGGAAGTGAGCAGGGGAGGGGGAGATAGAGAGAGTGGAAGTGAGCAACAGTGGGAGATAGAGAGAGTGGAAGTGAGCAACAGTGGGAGATAGAGAGAGTGGAAGTGAGCAACAGTGGGAGATAGAGAGAGTGGAAGTGAGCAACAGTGGGAGATAGAGAGAGTGGAAGTGAGGAACAGGGGGAGATAGAGAGAGTGGAAGAAGGAGCAACAGTGGGAGATAGAGAGAGTGGAAGTGAGCAACAGTGGGGATAGAGGGTGAGAGTTAGCGAGAGAGAGAGTGACTGAGAGATAGTGTGGGGAGATAGAGAGAGTGGAAGTGAGCAACAGGGGGAGATAGGGGAGGAGAGTTAGGAGGGAGGAGAGTGAGGAGGAGAGATAGTGGGGAGGTGAGGGATAGAGAGGGGGGTGGAAGGGAGGGGGGTGGGAGATAGACAGTGAGAGTTAGCGAGAGAGAGTGACTGAGAGATAGTGTGTGAGAGAGTGGAAGTGAGCAACAGTGGGAGATAGACAGTGAGAGTTAGCGAGAGAGAGTGACTGAGAGATAGTGTGTGAGAGATAGAGCGAGAGAGACATTGAGAGATAGAGAGAGTGAGAGTGAATGAGAGAGAGTTAGTGAGAGTAGGAGAGGTAGTGAGAGATAGCGAGAGAGCATGAGAGAGGGATAAAGAGAGAGACATTGAGAGAGGGATAAAGAGAGAGACATTGAGAGAGGGATAAAGAGAGAGACATTGAGAGAGGGATAAAGAGAGAGACATTGAGAGAGGGATAAAGAGAGAGACATAGAGCGAGCATGAGAGAGTGAAAGATAGAGTGAGAATGAGAGAGTGAGTGAGAGAATGAGTGAGTGAATGAGACAGATAGTCAGAGAGAGATAGAGAGAGACACTGTGAGATAGAGATATACAGTGTGTAAGAGACGTTCAGACAGCGAGTGAGACAGCGAGTGAGAGAGAGTGATATAGGGTGAGAGAGAGTGAGAGAGAGAGAGAGTGAATGAAAGAGACTGAGAGACAGAGTGAGAGATAGAGAGAGTGGGAGTGAGAGAGAGAAACAGTAAGAAATATACAGTGAAAGTTAGCGAGAGAGAAAGAGTGAATGAGAGATAGAGAGAGTGAGTGAGAGAATAAGTGAGTGAGTGAATGAGACAGTGAGAGAGAGAGAGAGAATGAAAGATGGAGAGATAGAGAGTGTAAGAGACAGTGAGACACCGAGTGAGAGAGAGAGTGATGTAGAGTGGGTGAAAGAGATTGAGAGAGAGAGTGAGAGAGACAGTGAGAGATAGAGAGAGACAAGGATAGATGGAAAGTATAAAAGACAGTGAGACACCGAGTGAGAGAGAGTGAAATAGGGTGGGTGAAAGAGATTGAGAGAGAGTGAGAGAAAGAGAGAGTGGGAGTGAGAGAGAGAGTGAGAGAGACATTGAGAAATATACAGTTAATGTTAGCGAGAGAGAGAGAGAGAATGAGAGATAGAGAGAGAGTGTGAGAGAGATAATGAGAGAGACCACGAAAGAGCGACAATAAGAGATAGAGAGAGTGAGAGAGTGATGAAGAGAGTGAAAGAGAGAGACATTAAGAGACAGATAGAGGGGGAGTGCGAGAAAGCTTTAGACAGCCGTCTGTTGCTGTTACTGCCCCCAAGTTAGGTTGTGTCCAGCACAGCGGACATAGATCCATCCGCTCTTGCATGGATCGTCCAGACATATCTGAAGCATTGTCCAGTAACTGACCACAGCAATTTGATGGCGCAATTTTGTTCTCATTAAGAAAGTGTACAATAGTTCGGATAGATTCTTTGATCCGTGAGAACTGATGAGGATGTACATCAAGAAAAGTTGAACATTTGAGAACAAGAGAGAGAGAGAGAGAGAGAGAGAGAGAGAGAGAGAGAGAGAGAGAGAGAGAGGGAAAGATAGAGAAGGAGAAAGAGAGAGATAGAGAGGGGAGAAAGAGAGAGAAAGAGAGATAGAGAGGGGGAGAAAGAGAGAGAGATAGAGAGGGGGAAGAGAGAGAGAAGAGTGAGAGAGAGGAAGAGTGAGAGAGAGCGTGAGAGAGAGATAGAGAGGGGGAGAAAGAGAGAGAGAGTGAGAGAGAGAGAGAGAGGGGGAAAAGAGAGAGGGGGAGAAAGAGAGAGAGTGAGAGGGAGAGATAGAGAGGGGGAGAAAGAGAGAGAGAGAGAGAGAGAGAGAGAGAGAACGAACAAACGAACAAACAAACAAACAAACTTTATTTTCAAAGGGTTACAAATTGGGCACGCAGGCCCGTCTGGCATTCGGCCCTTCTAAACACTCATTTTTCAGAGTACCAATACCTGTTATCAATAATGCATGTTATGGATATAGTAAAAAAAAAATATAAATTATAGAATAATGCATACACACATCATGTGTACACAATCGTACACACTCACACACACGTACACATACTCTTATGTACTCAGAGAGAGAGAGAGAGAGAGAGAGAGAGAGAGAGAGAGGAGGGAGAGAGAGAGAGAATGAGAGAGAGAGGAGGGAGAGATGGAGAGGGAGTTATAATTTCGGTTTTATATGACATAGAATTAATGTAAACGTCAGACATATTTGTATTCATGTAAAGTCACTTGATTAACATAGATTAGCATGTCGCCCCTTTGTTCGTGTAGCCACCGCCTCGGGCGTCTTACGCCCCCTCTACCCCGTCCCCCCCCCCTTCCACCTCACCCACTCCTTCGCCCCCGCCCCTGAAACAAAATTAGGATATAGACCATATCTTTTTCTTCGGTCATCCATTGCAAACTCTTCGGTGGAAAGTTCTGGTTCTTCGTCCACTCCGAACTTTAGCCTTGTTCCAGAACCTGAGTTTCATGTGCACATCCGTTTTACAAATCTGGCTTATTTGTATGCATACTGTTGGTTCTTTGCCTCTCTGGCAGATCCACTGCGACTTCTAAGAAAGCCTCCAGACGACTTATACGACATTCTTGTTCTTTTCTTGTTATCCCCCCGCCCCCCGCCCCCCCCCCCCCCCCCCCCCCCACGCACCCACAGTCTATAAATATGTAAAATGGAAACAATAACCATTTGTTAAACTTTTCTTGTTGAAATATTTGTGGGTCAGTGTCATATTTTATTAGATATTTTTTGTTACATTTACTTTCCACTCCTCACTTTATAATTATTACTATTATTATTATTATTATTATTATTATTATTATTATTATTATTATTATTACATTCCTCTCTTGTTAACTGACGGACAAGGCAAACTGTTGCACCGGATGACACACCAGAAAATGATCTGTGTACACACCTCCTGTTTCAATGGTTGACCTGCAAGGCCGCTAGGAATGTTACCTGTCTCAATGTGTGTCTGGTCCGTATTTCAAACACGTTGGCTTTTGTTTTGTCGCACGCGGATTTCATAAAGCAATGTCGTTTTCATTTAAAGATTTTTGAATTGCTGTTATAATTGCCACATTATAATTCCTACGTTATAATTGCTACGTTATAATTGTTACATCGTGGATGGTCTCCAAACAATGATCTGGGTTGTGTATAAATACTGCCGTAAGGTGCTGTAGCCTCACTGCTGACAATCCCAAGTCTAGTCGACATTTTCACTTCTAGCCCAGCGTCCTTGTCGACACAGAAGACACACTCAACCATGAAACCCTCGACATTCAGCCTTCTGTTCTTGCTGGTTGTGGTCTCCAGTGCCCTTGTGGACGTTGTCACGGCTCACACGGAGCACCACCATCATAGACATCACCACACTGGCACCTACAAGCACACGCACTCGCACTCGCAGTCTCACGAGCATCATCACCACCACGAGAAGAAGAAGGACAGCAGCGGAGACGATGGTGGCTTAAACAACATGCTGCCACTGCTTCTCACCCTCCTAATGCGCAACAACCAGGCAGCTGCTGCTCCGGCTGCTGCCCAGCCAGGACGCTAGTCACACGGTGGTTTCTTCATCTTGAGGGTGCTGCAGGATATTTATGTTCTTTGTAACCAACCCATCGTCATTCACGTGTTTGTGTAGTTCTCAGGGAATAAGTGCCAGTATCCATAAGACCAGTGTTCTTCAACATTTTTACAACCGGGTCAGGTAAAACAGAATTTTTTTTCGAGTACCAACTGACAACTAATCAAAAACAGAAACAAAACAAATCTAGACGACAGCTTATTTGTTACGTCCGATGTCGCATAGTTACATGTTTCAGCTAGTGCAGCTACACTGGCTGCTGTTTTAGTGATTCGAAAAATCTTAAATACGTGGCTGGGACGTTTTTTCTGATAGACGAAGCGCTGCAATAATGTTTGGGTTTTGTTACTGACATGATAAGGGCATGAACTGGCGAAGTTTTAACAATGCTTATATTCGGTGGCCGCATCTTTACTTCCGGTGCCAGATTGTCACATACAACGTCTAACTCGCTATATATAGTGAACAACCTGGCCATTTCCACGGACCAGTAGCGGTAGTAAGACACGAGACAAGAACACAGATCTGGTCCGTGATTCTGGGGATCGTGTGCGATGTCGAAACATGTTAAACCATTTTCTTATGATACGACACTTGCTGATGATAATGATGGTCCCTTTTCACTTGGAGCCAGTAGCAATCGGACAAAACACGTGACCGGATATACGTCATACAATGTCTGAGCCAAACGTCAACTATTTTAGAGAAAACTGGAGCAGTCGTACAACGAAACTTAATTAGTTGTGCACCCAAATACCAGCATAGTGGTAAAGTGAGATAGCAGCATTGGTACATCGAAACAAGGACAGTCGTAAAAACGAAACATATTTAGTCGCATAACGAAATATAGCATAGTTGAAGCGCAATGCGAAATTGGAATGCTTTTGCATAAAAGGCATGAACAGTTTGCTGATGAGGGCTAGTCACCGCAACGTCCTTTGTTTGTTCATTGTAACTGATTTTGTCAAACTGACACAAACTTGCCCTTTTTCTTCTCTTTTCTATGATTTCCTACCTTTTTGTTTAAACTTGTTGAATGTTGAAATAAGAATCGACACCACAGCACTCGGTTGACCCCCATTAGCGCCCCGTCCTCATCTTCAGCAGCAAGCGAAGAGTTCCAGTTCTGATGTTACAGTAACTGTTTTTTACATTTGTCGTTTAGACCAATATAGCAAGCAGTTCAGTGGTAATGGAAAAGCCATTGAGACTTTGCAGTCACTCGGTGTTATGTAATTTATTTATGTTGTTTTCCTCGGTTGTTGATATTATACTGGTTTTCAAACTAATCATGTTGTTTCTTTGCTTCTGTACTTTGTGAGTTTGTGATGGAGAACTTGGTTGGTATGTTGTGGGCATGTCATAATAAACGACAGCGTTATGATCTTCTTCTTCTTGTTCTTGTTCTTGTTCTTCTTGTTCTTGTTCTTGTTCTTCTTGTTCTTCTTGTTCTTGTTCTTCTTCTTCTTCTTCTTCTTCTTCTTCTTCTTCTTCTTCTTCTTCTTCTTCTTCTTCTTCTTCTTCTTCTTCTTCTTCTTCTTCTTCTTCTTCTCCTTCTTTTCTTCTTCTTCTTCTTCTTCTTCTTCTTCTTCTTCTTCTTCTTCTTCTTCTTCTTCTTCTTCTTTCTTTTCTTCTTCTTCTTCTTCTTCTCTTCTTCTTCTTCTTCTCTTCTTCTCTTCTTCTTTCTTCTTCTTCTTCTTCTTCTTCTTCTTCTTCTTCTTCTTCTTCTTCTTCTTCTTCTTCTTCTTCTTCTTCTTCTTCTTCTTCCTTCTTTCTTCTTCTTTCTTTCTTCTTCTTCTTCTTCTTCTTCTTTTCTTCTTCTTCTTTTCTTCTTCTTCTTCTTCTTCTTCTTCTTCTTCTTTCTTCTTCTTCTTCTTCTTCTTCTTCTTCTTCTTCTTCTTCTTCTTCTTCTTCTTCTTCTTCTTCTTCTTCTTCTTCTTCTTCTTCTTCTTCTTCTTCTTCTTCTTCTTCTTCTCTTTCTTTCTTCTTCTTCTTCTTCTAAAGCTTCTTCTTCTTCTTCTTCTTCTTCTTCTTCTTCTTCTTCTTCTTCTTCTTCTTCTTCTTCTTCTTCTTCTTCTTCTTCTTCTTCTTCTTCTTCTTCTTCTTCTGCTGCTGCTGCTGCTACTGCTGCTGCTGTTCTTACTACTACTGTTGCTTTTGCTGCTGAATCTACTACTGCCACTACTACTGTTATTACTACTAATACTACGACTACTAATACTACTACTACTACTACTACTACTACTACTACTACTACTACTACTACTACTACTACTACTACTACTGCTACTACTACTACCACCACCACCACCGCTACTACTACTGCAACGAATACTACTACTACTACTTCTACTACTACTACTACTACTACTACTACTACTACTACTACTACTACTACTACTACTACTACTACTACTACTACTACTACTACTACTACTACTACTACTGCTGCTGCTGCTGCTACTACTACAACTACTTCCACTACTACTACCATCACCAACGCCACTACTACTACTACTACTACTACTACTATTATTACTACTACTACTACTACTACTATAACTACTATAACTACTACTACTACTACTACTACTATAACTACTACTACTACTACTACTACTATAACTACTACTACTACTATAACTACTACTACTACTACTACTATAACTACTACTACTATAACTACTACTACTACTACTACTACTACTACTACTACTACTACTACTACTACTACTACTACTGCTGCTACTACTACCACCACCACCACCGCTACTACTACTGCAACGAATACTACTACTACTACTTCTACTACTACTACTACTACTACTACTACTACTACTACTACTACTACTACTACTACTACTACTACTACTACTACTGCTGCTGCTGCTACTACTACAACTACTTCCACTACTACTACCATCACCAACGCCACTACTACTACTACTACTACTACTACTACTACTACTACTACTACTATTACTACTACTACTACTACTATAACTACTACTACTACTACTACTACTACTACTACTATAACTACTACTACTACTACTACTACTATAACTACTACTACTACTACTACTACTACTATAACTACTACTACTACTATAACTACTACTACTACTACTACTATAACTACTACTACTATAACTACTACTACTACTACTACTACTACTACTACTACTACTACTACTACTATAACTACTACTACTACTACTACTATAACTACTACTACTACTATAACTACTACTACTATAACTACTACTACTACTACTACTACTACTACTACTACTACTACTACTACTACTACTACTATAACTACTACTACTACTACTACTATAACTACTACTACTACTATAACTACTATTACTACTACTACTATAACTACTACTACTACTACTACTACTACTACTACTACTACTACTACTACTACTACTACTTTTACTACTATAACTACTACTACTACTACTACTACTTCAGTTTTTCTTCTAACCGTTCTGCGGCTGTAGGCACCAGCAGAAAGTTTTGGTTTTTCTCCACTTTAGACTTTGATCAAGAACTTGAGTTTTACCTGCACATAAGTTATACACATCTGTTGTATTGTGTGCAGACTATTGGTTCCTTGCCTCGCAGGTAGCTGCACTCTAGTTTTAAAGGAAGCAACTCTAATTAAAGAGATAGGGGTGGGGTGGAGGGGACAGTGGGCCTAGTGATACAATGGAGAGATAGAACTCCACACGGACGTGTTTCAGGTTGACATATACGTTTTAATGCCACCGGAAGTGACGATTTACTCATAAATGACAGCCATATAAAAAATAATGCTGAAAATAGGGATGGCTGCAATCGGGCCGCCATCAAGACATAAAGTTAATAAATGCAAAACTAGGACAAACTATTCTCAGACGATTCACTTGAGTAAGTTCGTCACGTAAGATGTAATTTGCTTAAAGTGTTGATGTCTGAATTCGGGGCGGTTTAACGTGTGACTTTAAACGAGCAGCTGATAGAATAATATCTACATTGTCGTGTCTACATGACAGGCGAGCAGATTCAAGTTCTGTTACATTCTTTTTTTTTACTGTTACCGCCATCTTCAGTTTCAAATTTTCTTTCTCGTCTCTGTCTGCCTGTCTCTCTGCCTGTGTCTCTCCTCTCTGTCTGTCCCGTCTGTCTGTTTATTTATGTCTTCTGTCTCCCTCTGTCTGTCCTGTTGTCACTGTTTGGCTGCTTCTCTCAATCTCTCTCTCTCTCTCTCTCTCTCTCTCTCTCTCCCTCTCCCTCTATCTCCTCCTGTCTCTACTCTTTGTTTCTCTTGTTCCTCTTTCTCTCGTTCCTCTTCTGTCTCGCGGTCTGTCTCTCTTTCCTATCTGACTCTTTCATCTATCTCTTATTCTCTCTCTGCCCCTCATCTCTCCCTCCCCCCCCTCTCTCTCTCTCTCTCTCTCTCTCTCTCTCTCTCTCTCTCTCTCTCCTTACCCTATCTTCCCGATTCTGAAAATTAAAAGTTCAACGGCCAGCTTACACAATCCGTTTTCATGGCAATTCTAATTACTTGACCACTGACCCGACGGGCAGACTTGCTGACCACTGACCCGACGGGCAGATCTGCTGGCCACTGACCCGACAGGCAGACCTGCTGACCACTGACCCGACAGGCAGACTTGCTGACCACTGACCCGACAGGCAGACTTGCTGACCACTGACCCGACAGGCAGACCTGCTGACCACTGACCCGACAGACAGACCTGCTGACCACTGACCCGACAGGCAGACTTGCTGACCATTGACCCGACAGGCAGACCAGTTAACCACTGACTCGACAGGCAGACTTGCTAACCACTGACCTGATGGGCAGACCTTTTAACCACTGGCCCGGCGGGCAGACATGCTGACCACTGCGCCATTATCACAACAAGATGTGGGTATTTGAGCAGAATCTGCCTACACCGTACTGGCTGCTTCTG